CCGTCACCTTCACCCCCGCCTCCTCCATCTACCTCCTCCATCTGCCGCCTCAACCATCTTCTTTACCTCCTCCCCACTCTCGCTGGAACTTGCGCGGCTTCCCAACATTTGAAGGTGACAGAGCCCCTTTTGGCCTCAGAAGCGCCTACGCGGACGAGGAGCGCGAGAGGGATGGCCATGGACGGACCTGAGGACCATGGAGCCCCTTCGGAACCCAAGCTGTTCCTTATTTCAACGTCTTGGCTGTGCGTTGTTACTTCGGGCTCAGAGGGCCCTGCCTGGGCTACGGGGCCGTCAGAAGGTCCAGACCTCCAGGGCACGCGTGCTGCAAAGGGAACACGACGTCGGAGGTCTGGGGGGCCCTTCCCCAGAGCTGCCTGCTCATCTCGGAGTCAGGGAGGCGGGCCGATGCCAAGACGGGCACCAAGGCCCCTGGGCTCTCGCAGCCGAGGGGCTCGACAGGCTGACGCGTTCCACAAATGGGCGGCCTGTCCCGACGAGTCTGGGCAGTGGGGGCCCGAGCGGGGGCGGGTCAGAGCGATCGCTCTGGCCCACGACGGAAGCAATATGGCCCCGGGTGGCCTTCACGATGGCGCAGTGCGGTCCAAGGTGGTTCGATGCGTCCTCGCGTATGGCTGCAAGAGGCCCCAAGATCGCCACAATATGGCCCGAGGCTGCCGCGAAACCTTCCAGGAATGCCCCCGAGAGGCCGACATCGCCCCGACTGCATTCCGTGGTTCGCAAACTTTGCCTGGTCGCCGTTTCGTGCCCGATAGGCGTCGGAGGCATCAAGATGACTCCAACATATTTCCAAACTGGCCCCCCCAAAATCTTCAAGAACACCCCAAGCGTGCCTCCGCAGGGCCCCAAACTTATATGTTTCAAGCACCGCAAGGCATGGCCGCCCATTAGGGCCGCCGCCTTCTTGGGCCGACGGCTTCTGGAATGAACCCAATAGCTGCCTGAAGTACACCAAGTGAGTTCAACATGTTGAGGCTCGAAGGGCCCCACCAAGCTTCCCTTCCGAGAAATCTCCAAGCGGTCAGAGGCCTCGAATGGGGCTCACCCCAGTCCCGCGATGACCATTGTCGGGGACTGCTTCGGCTGATCCCAGCTGTGGTTTGACTGCTGTCCCACATCTCAGGGCTCAACGAAGGATCCCCGACCTCCCGTGTCCCGCGACACCCTCACCGGGAATCGCTGACGGATGGGCCCGTGGGGCTGCGCGAACGCCAAGCATCGAGGCACAAGCACTGCCGTCATGTTTTGTGTTGTTTCCTTTCGGGGCGCTGACGTCAGCCCCTCGAGCCCCCACGAGCCGCGGGTCGGGCATGTTCCCCTAATTACAGGCGGAGGTTGACGAGAAGTGTGTCAGATAGCCAATGAACGCTCAACCATAGCCAACAGTCGTCAAACAATCGTTGCGCACTTATTATTTTTTCTATCTACAGGCGGATGTTGACGAGAAGTGTCAGGTAGCCAATGGATGCTCAACCATAGTCAACAGTCGTCAAACCATCGTTGCACAGAGTTTTTTTTTTCGATTTTCGAGCATTCCTCCCGTAGAGGGACACGCCCGGCTCAACACGAGCCTTCCCCCGAGCCCCCCCACGAGCTAACCCTCTCCGCCCGAGGCCTCTTTACTCGCCGATGGACAGACCTCCCTTTAGCAAGCCTCCCCTTGGTGAAAACGACCTGGGGTCGAAATCGACGGACCTGGACCCGCAGAAATGACGGCCGCGACGCCCCCTCGCGAACCGAAAACGGCCCATTCTTTAATCGACGCGTCAGGGTAGGAGGTCTGTCCACCTCCGATCTGCCGAGTCTCCCCCCCTTTCCTGGCGGGCAAGCGCCCTAACGCCCCCCGTGGAGCACGCACACGTGCCCGAGCCCCGGTCGGCCTGCCGTTCCGCCGGGGAGAGAGCCCCGTGTTTGCTGGCAACGGCCGGGCTTGCATTGCACCCCGCCGGCGGATGAGAGAGGGGAGCGGGACATGTCAGGATCTGAGCGTCCAACGGAGGAGGAGGATGATGATGCTGATGCTGATGCTGATGCTGATGGTGACGATGATGAGGATGATGGTGATAGTGGTGATGATGGTGGTGATGATGCTGATGGTGGTGATGATGCTGATGATGAGGATGATGGTGGTGATGCTGATGCTGATAACGACGATGATGAAGATGATGGTGGTGATGATGATGAGGATGATGGTGATGATGATGATAGTGATGATGATGGTGGTGATGATGCTGATGCTGATGGTGATGCTCATGCTGATGAGGATGCTGATGAGGATGCTGAACATGCATGGTCAACGACATGTCCAACACGAACCCCGTCCTGGAGAATAACCGCCCCCCCTCCGTGCACCAGCTGCTCAATAGCACAAAGCATGAAACCTTGTTGCACAAGCTACGCAGTCGGACAAGTCATTAAACCGTGTTGAAAAGGACCACCCTCCGTGTGTGCAGCTGCTACGTTACCTTCAGGTCGCTGA